TCACTACTTAGTATGAGTTTCAATTTGACCGGTAATTGCTTTAGTTGCTCGCTACATGCTAGAGTCATAGAAGTTAGTTCAATTCCTGCATTTTCTGAGCTAAAGTTTTTTTGTTTTTTTAATTAGGTCAATTCTCGCATTTTCTGGGATCATTTATTATACTTGGCTTTGTATAAATCTTGGTAAGCTACTTTCCCTGCGGGAAGCGCTGCCGAAATTTCTGCAAATCCAAGGAGTTCAACAAATTTTGACTTTTCAAAGTTCAATTTGTCTAAATTATATATATGGGTTAGTAAAAATCAAGAAAGTCTCCTTTCTAAAAGGAATGATGCCCAAATTTTTACTAATTCAGGGAGTTAGGCAAAATTGGACCTTGAGTAGTCAAAAGTTGTTTTAGACTCTGAACTTGGCTTTGTATAAATCTTGGAATAACACTGTTTTAAAGGAAGTGCTGCCAAAATTTTAAAACAAATCTAACGAGTTAGTTAAATTTTATCTTAATTAAACTCAAATCCTGCTTTTGAGTTCGTATCTGACTTAGCATAAATATGGGAAGTCTGCTTTTTAAGGGGAGTGCTGCCCAAATTTTTACTAATTCAGGGAATTAGACAAAATTTGACTTTCAAGAGTTAGAGATAATTTCAGTTGTTATATTAAAGTTACTATAAATTCTTAAAAGGCACTTTTCCTAAGGGAAGCAATGCTAAAATTTTCTTAGTTTAAAGGAGATAGATTATATTATGACAGATGGCAAGTCTTCCAATCCACCCTGGATAGGGAGATTTCTTTGGGCACTGGCTTAACAGTGGACTTAGGCTTAATTATCAGGAGGATACAAAGATTATTCTCAATGGACTTATAGGTTTAGCTTGGGCATCGACCTGTCTTGTCTTACAAGTCCTCTTGATCGATTCGATTCAGGATCTGGGCTAGACTCAGCTTTATCCCACGAGGATCATCTTTTGTTATCACTGATAACAAGTCGGTTGCCGATTCATCGGTTTACGACTCAACTCCAATCCACCCTCGATTACCGAGCGTGAAGGCTTTAACCCTGGTGGTTTTAATTGTTTTATTGAGGTTTTCACCCAAACTTTTATTGAATGGCCATTTAACAGAGGTACTGAGTATTTATTTCGGAAGGTTGGGCAAAGGCTAGGGCTTGCATGGTTAAAGCAAAGGGGTATGAGTACAGAGAATGGTTGAAGTTGATCCCGTGTAGTGTGTGGACTTTTGGTTGCATCTTTGATTTGATTGCAGGTATATTTGTGGTTCGGACTTCGGATTTGACTGCCTGCGCTCTCATACATACGTATGGCTGGGAGGAGTCCCACGGTGATTGTGAGAAGTGATCATCACATATTTATAACCCTTTATATACATATACATACATATGCTTTGAGTGTTCGCGCGACCTATTGTGACTGTGCGCAAGGGTTAAACAAATTATGCGTTGAGAGAAAAGGGAGATCCCCTTTTTATCCTTTACTTTTTAGAGTCTTTATAGTTGGACGTTGTAGTCCGTGACATCCGTCAAAGTCAAACCCCTTGAGTTCTCTCTAGGCCTTGGATGATGGAGCTGGTCTCCAGGGCGATAAGAGACGATTGCCACCACATGTACGAACCTGTGTACCACCCACTCTCCGCAAGGAGCAGAAGAGGGTGTGGTTCTCAACCACACTTGGCGGTTGTCGAGCGTCGAGAGATTAACGCCTTAAGGCGCGTGTCAGCCAACACTTGAGTGTCGAATGCGACCCTCGAGGTTAACGAGGACCGCATGATTTTGGGTACTACATAGTACGCCATCGTTGTGAATGCTTGTGTATGCTTGCATTGCTAGTCGATATGAGAAAGCCCGATTTTATACTAAGTCTCGCGCGTTGCCTAACCGATTTCCGCGTCGGAAGGTTATAAGTTGAGCACGAAAGGGACTAGGATTGTTTGTATTGTTTTGTTTTGTGTCGTTCTGTGTGTGTGTGCTTTTAACTTTATGTTTTAACGCGTGGTGTAACGCGCGGTGAGTGGGATGCGTCCTAGTCGACCGAGGGCGAGTCGCGCTTGGAACTTCAACCCCTGAACGCGTCGGTTCGCCTACGGGTCCAATAGAGGCGTAGCACCGCGCGTACCCCATATGCTACAGCGTACGAGAAATGCCCTCGGCTGGTCCACCTCTGCGACTGCAACTGATTAGCTTTCGTACTGTGGCCTGGTAGCTCGGCGGGGATACGCCCACCGAAGGGAGGTGACAACTCTCGCAGGTGGAGGTAAGTTGTACCTCGCGTCGGCCCTACCCTATCGTAGGGACTCGCGGGAGGTATGGCTGGCGCACTCGACCGAAACGGCTTGCGGAAGCTCCATGTGTATACACGATTATGACCAACCCCTGCGTGACGCGGCCGAGAGGGTCCTGGCCTGCGTGGGACCGATGCGCTCGACACCGCACCAACATGCAAAAGGCCCAAATCCGCATGCGACGGCAAGCTAGTCGGCGTCACCTGCCATGCCCTATCCACGCCAGCGACCTTGTGTGGGTCTCCACGAAGGAGTTGCACTTGAACAAGACGTCTCTCGCAAGCTACTTCCGAAGTGGTTTGGACCATGGACTGTCATATCAGCTGCGGGTGATGAGCCCAATGGCCCTTCTTTCGTGATCAACATCCCCCCGCATTTACCGGTCCACCCGGTCTTCCACACCTCCAAGCTGGCCACATATACACCAGCCAAGAGCGACAACCTCCCCGACCGACGATCGCAGGACCTTCCTTCTATAGATGGTCATTAGGAAGTCGATCGCGTCATCACACATCGCACGCATGACAACAAGCCTATGCAATACAAGGTCACATTCAAGTGGTGCGACCCCGACAATACGCGATGGATTTCACAAGCAGCCTTGCAAGCCTCCGCACTGCTTATCTATGCCAAATATGCGAAGAAACGGCTAGCCACAGAAGCTGCAACGCCTGCCCCTCCCACCCGGACCTTCGTCCCTCCCTCCACCAGACAGCTTCGCCTTCGCAGGTAGGCTCGGTCTTTCAAGGAGGGGGAAGTGTGGCATACTCAGGTCCACACGGGCCCAGCAGGGCCTGACCAGGTAGGCTAGGGGTCCGTAGGTGTAGGGTCTGTGTCGTTTCGACCCTTAGTAGGGTCGGCAGGGTCGGTACACGTTTTAGGCCTGAGTAGGACCGGTACCAGTTAGAGGCCCTGTAGGCCTCATTTCGGGTACAGGCCCTGATGCGTGTTTTGGCGCCAGACCCTGACTTTGAGGCCGCGCCGTTTCAGGTAGGCGTTGGAGGACCAACCTCAATTTAGGCGCCAAACTTTTCGAGGTGCAACCTCAGTTTGGGCGCCAGGACTCTGCCACTGAGGCCGACCCAACGCTATATATAGCTGGGTCCAGCCTCAGTCCGGGGATTCAGGGAGTAGAGGACCACGGAGGCATACTTCGGACGATAGCAGTTCAGCAGTAGTCGACGATAGGACTAGTCTCCAGCGCTGGGCGCTGATAGAGTAGAGTAGCACAAGGAGGGAGAAATTGTGATGGCGGCTTGAGGACTTCCCTGAGACTTACCTGTGTAGCCATTGCTCCACCTTCGTCTTCAGCACGTCCGCACCTGCATCAAGGCACCACCTTTCGGAGGTCAGTACTTGGTAGAGAGAGAGAGAGAGAGAGAGAGAGAGAGAGAGAGAGAGAGAGAGAGAGAGAGAGAGAGAGAGAGAGAGAGAGAG